CATACTATCGGTTATCACATTCGTGTCTGGCAAGGCAGCCTCCTGCGAGAAAGGAGAATGGAGAAATCGACCGTGGCCTGTTGAAATGCTTCCTCCTACTACTCACTGTGTTCCTGGCTATCTGTAGAAAGACCAAATGAAAAAATCCCACTGTAGGAATCGCTAAGCGAGACGAAGTGAAAGTGGGGTAGGGGAGGTGACCAGCATCATGTGATGCTGGGAGAAGGGAAAAAACAACCTCAAGAGGTAGACCTCAAGAGGTAGACCTCAAGAGGAAAGCGAGGAGAGGATGCCTGAATGCAAACAAGTGATGGAAAGTGTACATCCTAACCCCCCCTAGGCAGGGGGGAGGAGAGAAAAAGTGGTGATGTTGTTTATAATTGTATTAGTTATGCTTTTGTACTGGTGAGGTTTTGCCCTAGGGATTCTAAGGGAAGGAATGGTCATGTATACTGATGGTAGAGATAAGGCTTAGGTGAAGGATTGCCTTGAGTTTTCAGGATTCCGGTAGGATCACAAGATTCTGGTAGTGTGCACTTACTGGCAATGACAGTGGCTGTGGGTTTTCAGGAACCTCTACCTTGAGTGGAGGAAATCATGTATTTTAGACAGACTTTTTGACTAGCAGAAACTACTAGACTTCAGACAGAACCCAGATAAGAAATATACTTGATTGAATGGTGATTCTATTGTTCCTTTTCCTCTTCACTTCTTCTAAGACCTTTTTGTCTTTACCTCTTTAGTCTCCCTTAGGAATCAAATGTTAGCTGACCTACCACTGATCCCTATTATATTTAGTTCATACAGGTTACTACCTATTACAATATTACCTGTCCTTAAACAATGATGTACCTAAGGTAGATGTGAGATATCAGGGATAAGTGAGACAGTCTATAGATCCAGATAAGATAGAATGTAACTATAGATATAAAGCACAATTATATACTGCTTTCCTCAAAAAATTCTTTTTTTACAAGAACAATTAACCATGCCTAGAATCTGTAACATATGTACATGTTCCCACAACTATATACTGGTTATGCTTATATTTTCTTTGTTATGTTATTTTGTTTGTTCTTGCTCATGTTGATTGATTGATTATTTCACTACTAGTATCATTAGGATTCTAGTAACTTGTTTATGATTTGTATTAGCTATGCTTTTGTACAAGCAAGGTTTTGCCCTAGGGATTCCAAGGGAAGGAATGGTCATGTATACTGATGGTAGAGATAGTCCTTGTATGAAGAATTGCCTTTGGCTTTCACGATTCCAGTAGGATCACAAGATTCTGGTAGTATATACTTACGAGCAATAACAGTAGTTGTGGGTTTTCAGGAACCTCTATCTGGGGTAGAGAAAATCATGTATTTAAGATAGACTTCCTAAGTAGTAGGAACCACCAGACTTTAGACAGAACCTAGATAAGAAATATACTTAGTTGAATGGCAATTCTATTACTCCTTTTCCCCTTCACTTCTTCTAAGATATTCTTGTCTTTACCTCTCTATTCTTCTATAGGAATCAAATGCTAGCTGGCCTACTACCAATCCCTATTGTACTTAGTTCATCCAGGTTACCACCTATTGCAGAATCAAAGTACAAGTCAATACTATGATCCTTAAATAAGAAGAATAAATAACAGCTGCTAAGGTACTAGAATCTGGAAAATGCACATCCTTGAGTGAAGTGGCTACTACCTTTAATATACCAAAATCTACCCTCAACTATTAACTTAATAGATGTCAGAGTCACTAAAAGGCCTATGAGATTGATCAAATATTGTCACCAGCAGTAGAGAAGGCAATCCTAAAGTGGATTCTCAAACTGGAATTGCATGGATCCCTATCTTGCCTAGACTGAATATGGCAAATAGTAGAGAAATTGGTAGTAGAGGAATAGAAGGCCTCGTAGAAACAGTATGAGATAGAAGAACCAAAAAATAAAGTACATGACTGGATTGGAAAGAATTGGATAACTCAATTCTTAAACTGATATCCAGATCTGGCAAACAAATTTCCAGTCCAAATGGATAAATAGTGAGTATATGCCAATAACTATAATATAGTTAAAGATTATTACAATAAGCTCAGGCTTGGAGGAGTCATAGTAGAGAATAATATCAAGGATCACAACTAGTGTTCCAAACTATCCTGGTACCCTACAGGGCTCTGGTGAGCTGTAGTCCTGGGCATCCTAGGTAGGGTGGATAAGGACAGTAGGGTATGGTGTCCATCTTTCACAAAGATACTGACAGCCATCTTGGGTGTTGATGCCTGGGCTCTGCAGTCTTCTGATATGATAGAACAAATGACATACTCTGGCCATCACCTACAGGGCCTAACCATCACCTGTAGGGCCCAGCTGTCAACTCTAGGGCCTGCAGTCACCTGCAGTCACTGATAGGAACCTAGCATATTTCTATATTTTGAGACACCAGCAGAGCCTACCTGTCTGTCCTAGGTATTAGTCTGGATGGATGCCAAGATCTCCATCTATCTCAGGCATCCTCCATGTACTACCATCCATCCTGTCTGTGCCTGAAGATGGATGGACTGGATGCTTGGGTTCACTGATCACAACATTAGCAATGTTGATAAAATGGAAATTATTCTTGGCTACTCATTGAAAACAAAAGTGATAACTAAATGAGGTAAAATGAATCTATATGTTTAGCAGGATGAAAAGTATGAGATAGTGACATTGATGGAAGCCATTTTCACAAATAGCTATCTCTTTCTTACATTTCTTATAACAAAGGGTAAGGTATATATATATGGTCAATTTGGTAATGTGAAAGAGGAGGATCATGATGTACAGTTTAGGAAATCACCTATGGGTTAGATGGATGGGGAGGTGAGATATTATTTGCTAATAGAAATATATTATCCCAATAGCTGGAAAAATATGCTCTAATATAGAAGTTCAGAGGTGTAATAGGTGGTAACCTGTATGAACTAAATACAATAGAGATTAGTGGTAGGCCAGCTAGCATTCAATTCCTAAGGGAGACTAGAGAGGTAAAGACAAAAAGGTCTTAGAAGAAGCAAAGGGGAAAGGGAGCAAGAGAATCACCATTCAACCAAGTATATTTCTTATCTAGGTTCTATCTGAAGCCTGAAGTCTGGTGGTTCCTACTAGTCAGGAAGACTGTCTTAAATATATGATTTCCTCCATCCTAGGTAGAGGCTCCTGAAAACCCACAACTACTATCATTACTGGTAAGTGCACACTACTGGAATCTTGTGATCCTACCAGAATCCTGAAAGCCTAAGGTAATCCTTCACCTAAGCCTTATCTCTACTGCTGGTTTATTTAACTATTCTTTCCCTTGGAATCCCTAGGGCAAAGCCTTTTTTATTTTTATTTTTATTAAATCCTCCTAGGGCAAAGCCTTGCCAGTATAAAAATATAACTAATACAAATATAAATAACTTACTAGAATCCTAATGATACTAGTAGTGAAACAAACAATCAATCAACATAAGCAAGAAAAAACAAAATAACATATCAAAGCAAAACATAAGCATAACCAGTATACTGTTGCCAGAACATATCTACATATTACAAGAGAATAAATATCTACTCATTCTTTCTGGCTATTCATCACATATAAACTTCCAATTCAGCAAGTTTTGTAATTCCTATAATATTATTTGCTTCTGTCTACCCACCCATTCAACATATATCCTCTAGCCACTTAATGTTGGTCTGTTTGGCCCCTTGCAAAAATATTATAGGAAAGTGACTGAAAATTACCATATTGCTACTAATATTGGTATCAATCACAGAAACTTTCTTCTACTGTATAAACAGGCTAGAGGCTAAGCCTCTACAGTTGAAAACATTAAAAGTACATTTCACAAGACCAGAAGTGTTCTTTTTCTACCATATATAGTTCATTCAAAATAAACTCACACTACTACTCCCTTTGACTTAGCTCTAGTTGGCAATCATTTGAGCTTTCTACTAGACAAAATTCCTTACACAAAGTACCAACTCTGGCAAAAAAACAAATCAGGCACTTAACTTTGTTAAAACTACAGCCTAGGGACAGATGTGACCTGATTCTACAGTTTTCCCATACTGTAGAATATAACTTTACATGAATAAATATTGCTACAACTGAGATGTAAAGATTGTGCACTGAGATTAAGATTACAAATAATGTTAAGAAGGATAGGAGAATTATTAGTCAAGCCTGAGTAATCACAGGTGCTCAAGTTATGGAAGCACTGAGGGAGACTGATGCCAAAAAGAAAACCCTCTAAGTAAGCTTTAAGTTCCACCAACAAAGTCACAACCTTACCCAAGGGTTAAGACAGCCAAACTCACCTTCTAGCAAACTCTCTACCATCAACATTATGCTATTCACCCCCTGTATATGTTTTAATCTTTTATGAGTATCCATACTACCTTCACTACCATGATCACATTTTTGGGAAAAGTAGTGTGATGAGTAGAGCTCTTTCAGTACCAATAATAAGAGTACTCACAGCCTTTCCATGAATGAGTCTCTCGTAGATGATCCTCTTTCATGTCCCTCAACTGTAATACCTCCTGTAACTTCTGATCAACATTTGTCAGAGCAGCTTTACTAAATGTACCTCTATATCTATCACAAGTGAATCCTTTTTTCTTTTTCATTCTTTTTCCTGGTTTCACTTTCTCTCTGTGTTCTTTCAATTAAATTCTTAATCTCCAATATATATGCTTAGTATGCATTACTTCTATCATATTTTTCTCTTGATCTTGATGATTTTTGCAACCTTAAAGCTAACTCAAATGCTATCATGATTGCCAAGATCTTCATGCACAAATACTGTGTTGGTTCCTCCAGATGTCCTGGTTCCTCCTTTTGTATGTTACCCATGCTCACTGCATTTGGTGATGCTGAAAAACCAAAAAAATCCATAAGAATAATAGCCAGTTCTCCTCCTATTTTGCTGTTGCTCATAGTTGGTAGAAGCAAGTGTGACGTGGAAGCAAGTGTGAAGCTATGGTTTTTTTTCTTTTTTTTCTTTTTTCTCAATTTTTTCTCAATTTTAGAGTGATATTTGATGACCAGGTATGAGGTAGAAATTCAGAAAACTATCCTCTGTGTAGTATACAATAGAAAACATAAGCTACTATGTTATTTTAATAGAAGGCTACAAAATTGACATTCTGTACAATAGAGTCTAAAGATATACATGATAAATCAGAATCAGATTCATCCCACAAATCCTCATCTGTACCATAATTTTCAGTATCTTGAGATGGTATATTTCCAATCCCACTACCTGGTTGTCTCATTTCATATTCCAACTCTAAAATTCTATTTGCACTGTCTAATAGCTGTGGATTGATCACTGAAGTATTGAAAATAGCAGGCGGTTCAAGTAAGGTAAGAACCTGGAGGAGGTCTGGTGGTGGTAGGAGTGATTCTAGATCATCGGGTGTTGGATTCTTCTCAGGGTCCAGAATTGGTATTAACAAGGCAGCTGGAATGGTTTGCCCTTGAGACTGTATAATCTTGACCTGTTTCTTGCGTTCTTTCTCAGCCTTTTGAGCATCAATACCATGCCGATTGAGAGCCGCTTTTGCCTTATTGATAGTAACTTTGATATCCTTTGTTGCTTTCTTAATTGCGGTTTGCTTCTTCTTCTCTTCCTTCTCATTCTTCCACATTTGAGCTTCTTGAACAGTCAGAACTCCACCCCTTTTGTATGACGTGGTGGGAGTTCCTCTTGCAGGTTTCTTCAGTTCAGATTCTTTCGTGAATATTATTGTATGTCTCCTCCTGAAGTTGAGCCTTAGCCCAAAGAACTTGTGTTCCTTCAGCCCATTGCTTAAATCGATCTTTGGCTTTACGACTGAATATTGCTCCTCAGTCTACCCATTCTTGTATTCTAGCCTGTGACTCAAAATATGTACTTGGGCAGTGAGAAAGATCTGATACTGTATCTTCAGCAGCAATTGCTTGACTACTATCTCCCAACCCATGAACTTCATGGTTATCTCCTCCATGAGGTTCTCTTCCAGATACAATAGTCATCTTATTATTGTAGTATCGCATCTTCTTTATAGCATTCTTATAGGAGACAGGGAACATGCCAGAATTTTTGAAGGAATTCTTTATTGTATGAAATCGGAAGGTTTGTTTGTGGATGGTGTTTAAGTCTCGGAAGAAGGAAGAGATCGTATATTCAATATTAAGAGATCTTAAAGCATGATGGATGGCTTGCTTGTGGTAATGCTTCCAGGGACGAAAAACACCAACATTGAGAGGCTGGAGAACATGAGTCAAATGAGATGGAAACTCAAAGGGAACAATATGGTTCTCATGACACTTGATTATGAAGTCATCCTGGCGGTGAGTAATATGCCCATCAACAAGAAGCATATGCTAATGTTTGTCAGGACCTGCCTCTATATGTTTAATAAAGTGATCTAGCCAGGCAAGGGCAATATTTTCATTGGTGTATCCTGTAGGTGATACAGTAATTACCTCCGCTCCAGTGAGGTTCTCATGAATCCAACTTTCCATAATCTTCTCACCTGGACAGATAATAACAGGAGGTGGTGGGGGAGTTCCATCCGCACATATTGCTTCAATAATCATAAGAGACTTCCGATTCTCTGGACTGGCCGTATATAGTTCCTTCACCTCAGTTGGAACAACAATGATCTCTCCTGTTGGACATCCAATTTGAACCCCAGATTCATCCATATTGTAGATATATCTGGCATGGTGGATGCCATAGTGATCAAGGATCTCTTGATAGTTGGTGAAGAACATTTTTAAATCTTCCTCTGTATGAGTGGTAATTCTGGCTCTCACAATTGACTTTGTCTTAATCGTATGAAGAGCCGAATTCTTTTTAAGCCATTTGTGCAACCAGGAGATTGATGGTTGACTGCATTTTTCCTGCTGTTTGAGGTGGCAAATTGCAGCATATATAATGGATGATGTTGCTCCAATTCCCATCTCCCATTACTCATAACAATAGAGGTAAAGAGCCTTCTCTTGAGCTGTAGTTAGGATAATATTATTACCCCCATGTTCATTGAAGGTCCCATGAGAGTTTCTTTGTTGATGCCGGTGGCGAAGTTGATGCATCCAGAGGGATGAAGAATTTACCTAAAATCAGTCAGCAATCACTTTTTTTTGCAGCATAATACACTATTTACCTGAAATTATGCTGCTGCTGCATTTGTTGTGTGGCTAGGGTCTTCCTGTAGCCATTCTAGAGCTTGATTTAATCGCTTCTTTAATCTCTGGTGAGTTGTTTCTGTAATCTCTGCCATAGTTGATACAGATTGGTAGTTTTCAATTTGGAGGAGTAGAATCACATATATGTTCAAAGATAAAAAAGAAGCTTAATGTAAAGATGGTTTGTAACTTGTCTACATTATCTCTGCTTACAAAGCTTTTTTTTCTCAAATTGTATCACCAATTATCACTCTAAAATTGAAAAAAAAAAAAAAAAAAAAAAAAACTGTAGCATCACACTTGCTTCCACATCACACTTGCTTCCACCGTCTATGAGTGATAGCAAAATAGGAGGAGAACCGACTATTACCCTATTACAAAAAGAAAATACTGGTCTGATATAACATAAATTATATAGTGTACTTAGGTACAGTACTGTGGAGGAGAAATTACATAATACTAGAGTTGGGTGGTAAACCCCATCTTGTAGCTAGGGCTTAATGGCCATGACTTTTGTTTCTTAGCTCGTTTGTTTTCAGGGTTAGTGCATGTGACTGGTGCTGCCTGGTGGGCTGCTTGGGAATTTCCTGTGGTGGTTGTCAACCAATCGTGAGACATCTGCAGACATCTGCAGATAAGAGCAGCTGAGGGCCACAAGAGAGATGTCCCCAGAGAGGGACTACTGAAGACACAGAAGAGCATTGAGAACTGCAGCAGGACAGATATAGCAGAGAATTCAAGAGCTTGATAGTTTTTTTCCTTTTCTTTTTTTTTCCTTTTCTTTTCTTTACATTTTTAGTTTTATGGTCATAGTTTGAGAGACAGAAAAGTATTCCTGGACAGTGGGAATTTTATTCTCTTGCATTTAGTTGTTTTAGCACATTGGTAACTAGTAGAGAGAGAGAGAGAGTGTGTGACCAAGCTTTGTGCCAACCCTTAGTATAAAGAACCAAAAGCCTTCCCTTCTGGAGGGAGAGGTCAACAGTACACCCTCATTCCAAAAGTTCTTGTACCCTAGCTGGTACTATAATATAAGAAGCATATAGTGGATGTAGTATTATGTATATGTACCTCTACCTCATGGTTACTGCACCATACCTGACAAAGAAATCTCATGATTGCCATGTCCTAGAAAAAACTACCATTTAACATGACCTCTATTATTGGAAATAACTGCTTGAACATGATTTGGTATACTCTCTGCTAATTTATTTAATACCAATTGATCAATTCCTCCCCACTCAGCTTCCATTGCAGCCCACAATTCATTCTCATTATTAGGTCAATTTTCTGGGATGCTAAATCACCGTCAGCATCGAGCTTTCATAATCCTCCAAACATTTTCAATCGGGTTAAGATTGAGTGAGCTACTAGGAAGGTGCAGGATCTAAACTCCATAGGCATGATAAACCCTTCTATTCTAACTACTATAGTGATATCCGGCATTGTCTTGAACAACTCAAAAGTCTTCAATGTTAAGGGAGAGAAGATAGGGAATAAGGTAAGGCTCGTTAATCTCAGATGCATATTGATTGCCATTAATACCCAGATGGTCACATTTGGAGGTTCACTCACTAGGCTGACGTTGATGAATGCGAATTAATAGTGTTCAGCTTCTATAAGTAAATGCTGCCCAGCAGCCAACCCTAAATCTCCCAGAGCGAAAAGTAGGTGCCAGGTTTTGATTGGCGAACTCTTGTCCTGGCTTTACCCTCACCCTTCAGCCATGATGATATCCTTTAAACTCTACTTTACACTTGTCTAGCCAAACCATCTTCCTTCACCACTTGCTTGTCTTACTTAAACATTAATTGAGTCATCTGCACCAGTATTTCCACTGAATTTTTTTAAAGCTATCCAAGTAGCGTTTCTTCTGAGGTATTCACAGTACAAATCCTAGCCTTTTTACTGTTCTATTCACACTAGATTGGCTGATATTAATATCGAGAGTATGAAACTTGTCTGTCAACTCTTGTAGAGATGACCATGGATTGGTTTCAGCTATGGATTCAACAGCTTGGGATATATCTTCTGTGACCTTAAGTGGTCAGCCAGAATGGAGAGCATCTTTAGTTGAGTCATGGGTCTGGAACCATTTAATAATATCATGAACAGTTGATGTTAGAATGCCAGTTTTCTCTGTTATGCACTTATACCCTTAGTCTATGCTAGCAAGAAGAATTACTTCCTACCTTTGATCATGTTTACAGGTACTAGAAATATGCAGAGGTGCTATGTTCTCATCTTTTATTCTGTCAGAGTTGTGCTGCTAGAGATGGGAGATTAAGAAAGTAGGGTACTATGATTCTTAAGTGCTTACTACTTTATAAGTATCTGCACATAATACTACATCCACTATATGCTTCTTATATCACGGTACCAGCTAGGGTGTGAGAACTTTTAGAATTGTTTTGGGGTAGTCCAACCATAGATAGAGCTGGTAGGTCTAGGCCATAAACTTCTTGGAATAAGGTAAAGTAGGATAAAACGAAGATCGTTAAGGTAGGCTCGTATTTCTCGAAGTATTTTATAAAGGATATGTGTAATAATAGTTTTCTCAAGAGTAAGGTAATAAATATATTAATAAGATCTCTTCTCCGTTGCTTGATGTTTCTGATAGCTGGGAGTACCTCGATATTTATATTCCGCGTCTGGGTTATCGCGGGCTACAACCAACTCCCATACTATCTAAGTACCTCCGTCAAAAACCTCTTAACTTTCTTAAGTGCGAACACCCTTGACCCTGAGAATATTTGCCTTGCTTAGCTTTGATCTCTTCAAACTCCTATTGTTTCTGGGGGGTGTGAACACCCCTCCAGTAGGTAGTCTTCGATCTCTCCACTATATGAACTTAATTTGAGTATGCCACCCTAATGGCAACTATACCAATTGTTCTGCCTCAAAACATAAAGTGATCAGCTTTAATGAATGAGCGCGGCCATTGTGTTGCATATTGATGCATCACAAGGCCCATCGGATATATAGGGTTTTTTGCTCTGGATCGAGCCAATAGCTTATCCAGCGAAAACCTCTCATACCGATTCTCGAGTAGGCCCTCTTGGGGCACTACTTCTTTCAAAGCAAAAGGCTCGGCTCTATGGCTACTCGTCAGTGCCATAGGCTCACGATATTCGGTCACTAAGGTTTCTTCCCAAATCGTCCCATCACTTATCAGCCATAATATTTAACTGCTAATGTACAAGGTAATAGCTTGCTCAAAACTTAACCAAATTCCTCCGAGTCACTTCCCATGAGTCGCCAAAGGTGCCCTCTCATATATCCTACGGACAGCATCCGGTCGGACGGACGGCGACGACGTATATGGTGTTATGCTGAAGGTGCCATTTATTGTGGCTAAAGTGTCGGGACGCAACTCGACCGAAATACCGTAATGACGCCCGGTCCCTATATGGGGGTTGCAGGGGTATGGTAGAAATAATCCTATGTAAAGGCCGGGTAACTTTGGTCCTTTTTTTCCATATGCCTAACAAGAATGAGGCTGTACTGTACATGTTGAACATGTTCTTGATTAGAGAACAAAATAATTACAAAGTTATTACAAAGTTTGTCGTGAGAAAACAGCAGCCATAATTTTATGCTACTAAGTGACTGGTATGACTTGGATATCTGAGATTTGCACACTCTCTTGGA